GGACGGGCCCGGCGGGCGCGGGGGGTTCCGGGGGGCGCCTCCTCACCTTCCCCTCAGCATGGCGCCCAAAAAAAGACAGAGCGGGAGCGAGGGAGAGCGGGCGAACGCCGCGAGGGGGGGCAACGCATGAGGCCGGGAGAGAAAGCGAAGCGAGAAAGAGCGAGCGAGTTAGAGACACCCACCGACCCCGCCCTTCCTCCTCCTCCTCCTCCGCCGCCGCCGCCGCCGCCGCCGCGGCCCGGCCCAACATGGCGGCCGTCCCCTTCCTCCTCCTCCTCCTCCTCCCCCCTCCCCGGGGGACGCTGCCCGGCCCAGGCCGGGGGGCCTGACCTGTCGTCAGGGAGCGGGAGGCGGTGGTGGAGGAGGTGCGGGGTGGCCGCGCGGCCGTCGGGGGAACACGGAGGCGGCGAAGGCGTTGATGGCGGCGGCGACGGCGGTGGCGATGGCGGCGGCGGCAGCGGCGGCGACTCTGATGGCGGCGGCGGGGGGGTCCCGGGCGCGGCCTCCATCGTTCCTTTGGGGGGGAGGGGGTGTTAATGCACGGGAGAGGACTGCTTGGGCGTGGCGGGAGGGGGGCACACTTCAGCTATGTCTACGGTATCGACTATCCAGGGCGCTTTTTTTTTTTTGGATGTTGTTTTTCGGTTTCGGAATCACCTCTGAGCCGACTTCCGCCGAGGCCGCGCGGCCTGGGCCCCGGCCGGCGAGGCGGGCCGCCCGCCGCCTGCTTTCTCCGCAGCCCGGCCCCTGCGATCGCTCGCTCGCTCGCTCGCTCACGGGCACGGGACCCTCATCGGGGCGTGAGGCTCCCTCCCGACACACACGCACACACACACGCGGACACGCACACGCTCACACGCGGGCCCCCGAGCCCGGAGACCCGGCGGGCACGGACACTGGTGGGTGGTTGGGTGTAATTAGCGCGGACCGCGCGCCACGGAGCAAGCGGAGGGGAAAGGGGGGAAGGAGGAGAGCGAGCAAAGGGGGGTGGTGGAAAATAAATAAAAATCGAGGGAGGAGAGGGGACGGGCTGCGGAGAGGGGCCGACTGTCTGCCCGCCCGCCCGTCCGCCCTAGACGAGGCCCCAGCGGCCCGGCCCCCGCCGCGCTCGGGAATTCACACAAAATGGCGGCACGGCCGGGACGAGCACCCAGGCCGAGGCGGGAGGAAGGGCGTGGAGGGGGGGGGGGCGACTGAGAGGCCGGAGCCGCGTCACGTGGAGGAGGGCAGAGGCGGCGGCCCGCCCGAGAGCGGGCGGAAAGAGCCGAAGCGGAAGGGCGAGGCGGCGGGGAGACGGAAAGAGCCGAGTGCCGCTGAGCCAAACCCGAGAGGCCGGACGGAGCCCGGAAAGAGCCGAAGGCAGAGAGCTAGGTCACGGGAGGGACGGGAAGCGGCTCAAAGACCCACCTCAAGAACCGAGGGTGGTCGTGGGGGTGGGCCTGGAGAAGGCACCGAGAGCCGGAAATAGCCGAAGCGCTTCGGGATTAGAGAGCACCCCCCCTCCCCCCCGCGCGCGCGCGCGCAAGGACTTGAGATAATCCGGAAAGAGCCGAAGTCAGTGAAGGGCTCGCGGCAAGAGGCGGAAGTAGCTGGAATAAATCGAGCCGAGCGAATAGGCATTAGCGAACGAGCTGAACGGGTGGGGCTGGAAAGGCGATTAATTAACTCAAAGAGTAAATGGCTTTCAGAAACTCGCCCCAGAGCAAGCGAGAAGAACCGAAAATTGCTAGTTTGAAGGAAGGCGGGAAGAGCCAAAAGTTTTAGGTGGGAGAATGGGAGGGAAAAAAATTTAACCGAAAGCCGGAGACTGGTCCCAGGAGTCGGACGTTTCCGAAGAGGGGCTGGAGCAGAGGCGGCCCGGAGATGACGTCACTACATAACTCGTGTGGTGACGTCATCCTGGGGGCGAGAAGGGCGGGGCCTGGCTGTGCCAGGCGTAGTGGAAATCTTCTAGGTTCTTTAAGCCACTAAGGAAATCTTTTGACCCTCACCACCTGCCTAAACTGATGCTCCTAGTTTATAAGTGGAGACTGAAGCCGAAGGCTGAGGCTCAATTGGCGTAAGATCATAGATTTAGGGCCAGGATCTGGAGAAAAGGCTCAGTTGGCCGTGCTTAGTTCTAGGCATACGTGAAACCCAAAGCTTCATCCCCAGCCCCGGTAGAACCGATTCCGATGGCTCTGACCTGTAGCCGCAGCACCGGGGGACGGTGGGTGGCGGGGGTTAGGAGAGGCAGAAAAATGAGAAATTCAAGGTTCTCCTGACCCACACGGTGAAAGGAGAGAAACGATTCTCGAAAGATACCACGTCCTCTAACCTCAGGCCCGGGGCTCACACATTAAATAATTTAAAAGTTAAGTTGTTCAATTCGATTTGCACCCAGAGATCTATGTTTTTCATCGGTTCTTTCTACAGTGCCAGTTTCTGTGACAAAAGATGGGCACGGCATCATCGTGGAGCTTAGTAGTGGAATTTGCCCTTAAGGGAGAGAAAGTGGAAACAAGAATAAAGGAAAAGAGGTACAGGCAGGGACAAGAAAAAGAGAAAGTTCCAAAGGGAGGAAATAGCTCTTTTCACACTCCCTGATGATGCCGGTATCGCATTGTTTCTCAAAAGAGAGAGAAAAGTGTACGAAGACAGGGCCTTGGGGTGAAAGAAAACAAAATTCATTAACTCACCTGAGATGCATGTTGGGGTTGGTGGTGACATAAAATTAGTTCTGAAAAACTAATGAGCCACCCATTAGAGACTGCTTGCTGAGAGCCTCCTGATCTTTAGCCAAAGTATCTGTCGGGATTCGATCTAATTTCCTTGGGCTCACCCAAACCCTTGTACTTGGTACACAAATTCTCTGAGGCACCCAGGCTCAGTTCCTATCCTAACCTAGTAAGAGCGTTCTTTGCCTCTGTCTCTGTCTCGACAGGGTCTCACTATGTAGTTCACTGTGTAGACCAGGGTGGCTTCAAACTCCCAGAGATCTGTCTGCCTCTACCTCCAGAGTATTGAGATTAGCCACAACTCAGGCTATTCTCTTACATACAATGTCTCTAAGAGCAGATCTTTTGACCTGCTCATAACTAAATTATCTAAAAGTATCTATATAACCCTGCGGTGGTAGCACACGCCTTTAATCCCAGTACTGGGAGGCGGAGCCAGGAGGATCTCTGTGAGTTCAAGGCCAGCCTGGTCTACAAAACAAGTTCCAGGAAAGGTGCAAAGCTACACAGAGA